AAATTGGCCCCCTTCCCTGAAGCGCTTCATCTGCCTGTTCCACTTCTAGGTCAGCTGCGTCTGGTGGGATTCTCAACTTTTGACATCCGAGCGTTGAGGAAGAGAGCCAGCTTTCAAGTGCAGTCTTCTTGAAGTCCAGGAAGCTTGTAAGCCGAGACAGCTGCAGTCGTCGGCATATCTCACTGATCCTACACAGAGTGAATTTTGTCGGTGCAGAAGTCCTTCCTCCAGAATCCTGCTTGATTTTGGCTAAGTTCCCCATTAATTGTTTGCTTCTGCCTTTCCAGGGTAATCCAGCAAAAGTTTCGCTGACAGTATGGTAGTGTACCTATACGATAATTGGAGCATTGAGTCACCCGAGCCCTTTTGGATATATGGGCGATTACTCCACACTTCCGTTTCCGAGGAAACGTTTTTTTGCGGAGAGTGTGTGACATAGTTTAAAGGCTGAACTTTTGCCGTTTCTTTCAGAGTCACTTCTAAAATGTTGCAGATGTCTGAGCTAAACGAACCAATTTCCTGACTTATATTAGCGGTAATTTCCCTTCAGGTGTAATTCTTAAATTTGAGCCTTGTATTTGTTGCGCATGCTCAGGATTGACGTCACTACCCTAATGAACGTTGGCTGGCATAGATCGTTAGGTACCCCTGGATATTTTATTTGCTTTGGGCTCGCAGGAATGAGCGTTTAAGGTTGCTTTAACTGTAATCATTGATTTCGCCATTTTTCTCATGACACAGTGATGAATGAATGTTCTTATACTTCTAACTGTTGTTCCGATTGTCTCACTACTGTACGCTGTGTTACTCTGTTATGTCTGGAGTAATCAAGTGGATTGTCCCTGTTCAGCTACGGTCAGCAAATTTCCGATCCGTGATACTTTCCACTTGCATCTCACGACAAAGCAGCGATTCTATCATTTACTTTTATGTTGTGTGTTTGTACCTAAATGAGTTGCACGAACACGACAGGATGCCGCCCACTTTCATTTTATGACCTACTTGATATCTCCTTGGTCAGAAATTTAACGGGATGTTTGTTTTGTACATTTGGTCTTGTTCATGATTCAGTCCAGCTGGTATTTATGTTATTCCCATCAGCCACCATCAACGAACCCTGAGTTCAAGAAGGTTTCCTTAATTTTAGAAAGAAAATCTGGTAGCAGATTGTTTCTTAGTAGAATTTTTTAATATTTTGGAGTCACTGATGATTTATGATTCTCGTAGGATTACCACGTAGAAGAGGCATATATGGTTGGCATTACTCTTGACCCATCTAATTTTTTGTCCTGCTGTAACATTAGCTTACCTGTGCGTTGATATATTTCGGACGCATTACCCGACAGTGTATTCCTCTCGTGGTCTTCACTTCGCGAACCTAGAGTTTGGGACTCTTATTGTACATCAATTTTCTATTTTGACACTTTCCGTTTTTAGAGATGTCCTTAAAGCCTACGACGCATCGCACATCTAGAATTCATGACATGGCAAATAGCATTTCTCGCCACTGATGAGCTTTATTTCTGACCAGTGGTATACCTTTGTTGACATACCTTTTTTGACAGTGGCACGTAGTCCAATGATTGTGTCTTGAACGTACATAAATGCATTTGTAGTTGAGTTGTCGCCTTTCATACGATAATGTTCTTTACGTGCAATTTGTCTGTTTCAGGACAGAGACGCATTAATCAATTGTCCCGTAACAGCAGGTATTTTCGACAACGACTCAGGCAGCTCGGCTTTATTTTGTCGGGTCACATGGATTCGCCTGTTGTTTCCCTGATGATATACTTACCGTCCAAAATTAGGTAAGATCTGCTTATTAGAAAATGTTTTCGTCTAACCCCGGTTGTCTGTTAGCATGTTCTCTCGTGAAATGTTGAGGAGGAAAATCGGAGTGGTCGTCGTTGGCTTTCCGGCCACGCCGATCATTCTTGGCAGAGCGAGGTTTTGCCTTAGTGCCAGTCACACGAAGGAAGACTTGGATAGAGTAAGCGAATCACGAATGTCTTTACGTCAGAGAACATAAATTTGCGATTACTTTTAGGCACTCGACGAAATCAGCGCTGTCGGTGATCTCTTGTGGCTGAAGCACTCCAAAGTCAAAAAACTACCCAACGTACACATGGAATACTGACCGTTTTCCGTTCCTCTAGCATTAACTTCTTCGATCACGGTACATTGTCATATTGCATTCCTTTGCAGGCTGTTTACATTTGTCATAGGGGCTTTGGTTTTCATTTGGCTAGTTTTCTGGTTATCACCTGTCGCGATCGCTCATTTATGAAACTAGCACTGAATCGTTTGGTGCTTCGAACCAAACCGAACTTTCCGCGAACCGTCATTCATCATTCGTCTGCCGTGTTAGCCGCATTGCAAAATTTTTGTTACTGATGATTTTTACCATAGGAAAATGCACTTATATTATGTAAATTATTTGATTTGTTTTATCCGTGCACTGCTAAATCCTAACCGATTGGTAGTGCGAATCAGAAAGGTTAAAGCTGTGCCTTCAGTAATGCATTCTTCGAATCCATCGCCGTGATGGAGGCCAAGTGTGAAAACGAATGTTTACGCAATTGTGATTTTCGGCGCCATGCATAATCTTTGGAAATGGTTG